GCTCTTGAAGCACACACATTATTATTTGCTTACACCTTTAACTTCTAAGGTGTAAACACCTGGAAGTCAACAGTTGTGTCTGATTCCACATTGTTATTCTCAATGCCCAGTACAACACCTGACACATGTATGGGCTTAATGCTTGTGAAGGGAGTTGAAATATCACACATACAAAACTAGGAGCTAGATACTTGATTTAAAGATGATTTTAATAAAGATCAGAAAATGAAGTTACCAAGAGAGTCCAAGTCACAAAGAGGTCATATGTATGAAGGAGCCGCGGTCTCGCCTGGCCCGGAACCGGCTCTGACCCGCGTAGAGGGCCCGGCTTAGACGCCCTTCTGGGTCCTCTATACCCGCGCTCCCCACCCTACAGGGCTCCACGGTGAAGGGCTTCCTTCAGGGCGTCCTGCGCCTGGCACCCCGTCTCCACAGGAACAGAAGTAGAGTCCCCCGGGGAGGGGGCGGTCACGCTGAGCCCACCTCCCCTCTTCCTGTCAATCCCACTCATTCATTCTCGAAATGAGTTCATTTTATAAGGGGAAGCTGACCGCCTACTACGTGCCAGGCAGTGTGCTTACGGTCACCGTTCCAGGTGACTGCACGGTCCCTGTGATGGCCACAGGCTTCGAGACCTGAGACAGGTCTCACCCCACCAGGCCTGACCGGGAATCTGCACCTCGACAGCTGGCGGAGCAGGACGGCCCGGGCCGCGCCACCCGCGGAGGGCGAGGGTGGAGAAATCCTGAAAGGACCAGCCCTCGGAGGAGACGGCGAGCCCTTTAAGAAAGCTTTCCAAGCAGAGTGGTGACAGGCGCCGAGCGAAGCGCCACGTGACTTTTGCTCTGGGGCGGGTGGGCGAGGGAGCGTCCTTTATTACCGGCTCCTCTCCTAACCCAACGCACCAATCAGCTTTCATGGTGGGCGGGAGCGCGTCGCGCAGATGGCCAATCGCGGCCAAGGGAGAGCGTGGTGGGAGGGAGGCGGGGCCTGCCGGGTTGCACCCCGCGCGGGAAGTGGGCGGGGCCTCCGGGAGCGGGCCGGCCCGTTTGCTGGCGGGCGGAGCGGGGCGGAGGCGGTGAATGGAGCCGCAGGTAGCGCTGGAACAAAGCGGCTCGACCTGAGCGGCGCGCGTGCGCAGGGACCGTCACGCTTTTCCTGCGGAGTCAGGCTTGTCTGCCCGTGTAGGAAGCTCGCGGACGACCCGTGCCAGCGGTACTCAACCTGTGGGTCGCGACCCTTTTGGGGTTCCAACGACCCTTATCACAGGGGTCGCCTAAGACCATCGGAAAACACATAATTACATATTGTTTTTGTGATTAATCACTATGCTTCAATTATGTTCAATTTGTCACAACGAAATTGGGGGTCACCACAACATGAGGAACTGTATTAAAGGGTCGCAGCATTAGGAAGGTTGCGAACCACTGGTAGACCGTCCCCTGCCTGGCACAGCGCCCCCACCTCCTTCGGGTCACCCCTCCCGCTCCGAGGCCAGTGGGCTCACAGCCACCGGCCTCCACCCCAAGCTGGAGAGAGTCGGGGCTGCCAGGGGTGGGCCCGAGGCGCTGAGATCTGCCTCTGTAGCCGGGAGGGTTGAGCTTTCCGCTGACCTGAAGGCACCGAGATGGCCCTGGAGTAGTCCCCGCTCCCCGTCTTCCCTGCGAAGGATGGTCTCCCGGGAGGGCTTCACCATCCTTCTGGGCTGTATGGCACAGGAGCAGGGGCCTCTGCCACAGTCACAGCCCCAGGAACCCACAGCATTACAGTCAAAGACACTCTATCACCCAGGGCTGTGCTGGGCTGCTGGGCGGACCACCTCCCTGGGGTCCTAGGACCTGTGGGAAGAGCTTCCAGGGCCTGAGAGGCCGGGACCCAGATTCTGCCCTGCCCTTTGCTGCCCGGTTGTGTGGTTGTCACCTCTCTGGGCCTGGGTTTTGCAGATGTAGCAGGGCGCTGGCCAGTCCGGCACAAACCTATCTGTTAGGGAGGGTGCCTCTCCCAGGGCAGGGCAGGTGCTCGCTGGTGGTCAGGGATGGAGGCAGCACTCAGAAAGGAGTTCTGAGGACCCACGGGGCGGGAGGGACCTGCTGGCCAGAGAATCGTTCAGGGTTGAGGAACTTCCCTGCAGCAGTACCGGAGGAGGGACTGGCCAGTGCTCTCACTAGTGGGGGCACAACTGAAATGACCTCCCCTGCATGAGGGAGAATCGCCTGGAGAGAGGAAAGGAATTCCTAGCACCCTCACATTGGCTGCCACGGCTCCTGTCTCCCCCTCTGCGCTCCTCCAGTGGGGCAGACACCCTGGAGGAGACCTGTGTGGAGCTGAAAGAGCTCCCAGGGGCAGGATGAAAAGAGGGGCAGGGTTGGCTGCGTGCAGGAGTGAGAGCATATGGGAGGGGTGGCAGTGGGAGCACAGGCATGGAGGAGGATGACCATGGCCACGTGCGGGGTGCTGGGCCCCCATCACGGGGTTCCTGAGCCGAAGCCCAGCCTCCAGCCTCGAACAGCAGGACAAGTGCATAGGATGGGTCAGGGGCTGCTCCTGGGTGAGTGGGGCAGGGCTGGGGGGACCCAGAACCCTCTGATGTACAAGGCCCAGAGCCCAGCAGGAGCCGGCCCAGGGTCAGACAGCAAGAGGCTAGCATTGGCCCTGCCCAGGGACTTGCCCTGCTACTGCGAGCCTCCCTCCGGATGCTGGGAGAGGGAACCTGGTGCCAGGGGACCCAAGACAGGCCTCCTCCTCAGGAATGTGGCCTTTCCTGCCCTCAGGGGCAGGCCTCTCTCACCTGCAGCCCCTAGGAGTGGTGCCTGCTCTCCAGGCCCATCCCTCCCCCTGCCGTCTCTGTCGCATCCCTGTCCACCCAGGTGCCAGGCCCGAACCTGAGGCATGTTAGGAGCTGCCCCGAACCACACGGTGAAGGACCGTGCCGGTGGGCGAGGCTTGGCTGTAATGGTGGGATGCTTGATGTGAGCTGAGATATGCACCCCAGACATGTCTGCATGCTTTAGTGACCCGGAGCTGTGTCACCGATAGTTTAAGCATCTTAGAAACAGACACTCCTTTTCCCACTGGTGCCCACGGATCTCGCAGAGATGGGCACCGTGTTTTGAATGGCATATACTGGAGGAGGAGCAGGAGGAAGAGGAAGGGGAGGAGGAGGAAGAGGAGAGGAGAGGAGGGGAGAAGGGTCGGTCAGTCCTTGCCCTCCTACCCTAAGAGGCCAGCACTCAGTGAGGGTGAGCTCCTGCTTGCTTCCCGAGAGCAGCTTTCCGAGAGGCGCTATTTCCCCTCCCACGGTGAGTGTAGAGCAGGGGCTGGGGCTGATGCCAGCCTCTGCCCGGGGCAGCTCCAGGGTCTCGCCAAGAAAAATCAAAGAACAGGACCTGGCAGGAGGGCCGCCAGGGCCAGGAGATTGAGGGCTCCCCCGACTGCCTGGAGGAGGCAAAGGGGGAAGAATGAAGACAGTGCAGATCTTCCCCAAGCACCTGCCCTGGGCCAGGGAGTGTGTAGATCAGTGCGTGGGCCTCACAGCGGGACAGACCAACCTCACTGCTCCCTCTCCCAGCTCCTCACCAGCAGCGACCCCAGGCCCTTGGTCTACCTCCCGACGTGGGTTCCCCCACGACCACTCTCCCACCCACATTCCCCAGCCACCACTCTGCAAAACTTTGTCCCTGCAGACATCACTAGTCAATCCCAGCACTTTCTCTCTTGCTGAGCCATCTGCCGGCCTCAAAACCCTTCTAAGTAGGCACGACCAGTTGATTGACTGTGGTAGACAAGGGATTTCAGACCCAGGTGCTAAGGCCTCAATTCATAGCCAGACCAGCCAAGGCCTCTGTCCCCACCCCCAGCTCACTTCACCCTGACCTGCTGCCTGCTGCGCCCCAGACTCAGCACCTGCCTCCACCACTTCCTCACTCCCTGCCCCCACCTCCGAAATCAGCGTCAGCTCAGGGGCACCGCACACTGCCCCGCCTGACCTCATCCTCCCCGTGGGGCCCCTGTGCCACCCTCTCTACCCACTTAAGGGCAGTTCGGCCTGCAGGGGGCTGGGGTGGGGCACCCAGGCTGCCTCGTGCCCCACCCTCCCTCCACTTCAAGCTCCTGTCGGTACAGGTTCCCCTAAGGGGGCTGGGGCCCCACTGGGTTGGGCGCCTGGCAGGTAAGTCTTGCGAGCAGTGCACGGGCTGACTTGGGACTGATGTCAAGCGGCCTGGTTTCTGTCCTGGTGCCAAGGCCACACCCTGCGTCGCAGTGCCCACCTCCTCCGCCCTGCCTTCACCCCAGTTTCCCCAGGGAGGTGGCAGAGCGGGGCTCGTCTGCTCTACAGATGGGAACGCTGAGGCCCAGGAAGGGAAATTGTCTAACCCCAGGGCCTGGCTCCAGCCCAAGCGGGTTACTCACTTACCCACTGGGCCTGGGCTGAGTCATGGTGGTGGCCCAGGTGATGGGAAGGAAACAAACACAGCGAGTGGGAGGAGGCCTGGGGGAGGGTGGATGCGCCGCCCGGGGTTCCCAGCTCTGAACTTCCCACCACAGGCTCTGGGCGTCCTGGGCAGGCACACACCTGACTGTCTCACGTCATGCTCCCATCAGCCCTGGGAGGGCTGTCACCACCTTTGACAGACGGGGAAACTGAGGCCCCATGGTTATAAATCAAGCTGTGGCAGGGGGCCGGGCTCCAGGCTGAGAACCCGGCGCTGGCTCTCGCCATGGCTCCTGCAGAAGGAGGCCTTGGCACGGCCGCAGGGAGCCCCTGGTTCTACCAGCTGTTCCCATGTCTGGGCCACCATGGCTGGGGGGGGGGAGAGGGCGGGGGCGG